TATTATTATTATTATTATTATTATTATTATTATTATTATTATTTTGTAGATACTTAATTAGAAAATTAATAGAATATCCTGGTCGTGACCTATAGTTACAGGGTAATTAATTTCAGTCTGTAAATTATAATTTCTCTGATAGTGAGAAACACAATTAAGTTTCTGACAATTGAAAGCATTCAGTAAGAAGAAAAACCCTATTTACTCATTTGCCTTGATTGGTAATAGCTAATCTCAGTTGCAGTCATTGTACCTTTTGCCAGTCAGAAGAAGAGACTTGAACAATTACTTTCTTTTGACTCTTGTTCTATTTTGCATATCTTATCTCATATCTCAGATCCCGAGATAACTTAAATCAAGGTTATGGCTAGAAGTATTTATGAAGTTTCCCGTTGCATTCTTATAAGAGGGTTCACATTGTTATCATCTAGATCAATTACTTGTTTATATGAATATCTCTTACACTAAAGACCAAACCTGAAACATCCAGTTTCACGGAAGTTTCTTCTCAGTAATTCATGCCCATTCACCTTCAACCCACTCTCTAGAAGTTGCATCGCCTGTCACCCCCGAAGGTGACATGGCAAGAAATCTTTTTCATTACGCCTAACTCCAAATGATCTCACTATTATGTATAAACAAATTAGTTTAATGCCAAACTAAACTAGATCGATCATAAGGATCTTAGTAAGCTTACGTTTCGAGGATACTGGGTTCGTCCAATTAGTTGCTTTAGCACCTAAGCATAATATTGAAAAAATGAGCGACTCCCAAATAGAAATATAAATAATAGTCCATCACATAATGTGTACATCTGAAATTGATAGAAAAAACAGATATTCGATGACAAATTAATAGATTTACTTAAAGAAACTAAATTGAGAAATAATCAGAATTGAGAAACACATTATGCATGAGATGAGGACTGAATTGAAAATAAACAGGGAGATGGATATTACATGGTGAATATATAATAGCAGTAATCCTGTACCATTGGACAGTAACTTGCTTCATTTATCGTAGGAACTAGAGGAGACATGAACCTGTAGAAGCATTATGATTTCTAAAAACCCAATATTCATTTGAACCCAACCAGAAATAGGAAGTGGGTACAGAGCCAATCTTAGCAGCTAACACCACTAAGAAGCAATGTTTTCAAAGCCGGACCGGATATTGAACCGGAAAACCTAGCGGGTCACGGTTCAAACGGTCTGATCGGTCAGACCGTTCGGTCGGACCGGTGACGTAATAATTAAATTAAAAATAATATTATATATTTATATAATAATATAAATATAAAAATAGATATAGAAATTATTGTATGACTTGAGAATAAAAATAAACAAACTCACATATAATAATATATATCCTAATTCTTAACTCCCAACACGATAAAACTATTGAAATAAAATTTTTTTAGCATTGTACAGTTTGAATATGATATTATAATAGTACTCCTCCGGTCCTAATTATAAGACCCAATTGACTTATTTGAAGAGATTAAGGAAGTAAGTTAAGTTGGTTATTTATAATAAATAAGTGTTGTTATTCCTAAAATATCCTTGCTAATTAAGTATATTGGCTAAAACTATCATTATTAGAAGGATTATCTTGAAAAAAATGCATAAATATAAGAGAGAAAATGGATTGGGTCTTATAATTAGGACCAAATAAAAAGTTAAATTGAGTCTTATAATAAGGACCGGAAGAGTACTATTTTTAATTTCCTTTTCAGCATAGTTTTTTTTTTTAATCATTTCACTCCTTTTTTTGGGCCAACTCTTTCACTACAATTAATACATGTCAAATGGCTTTTTTTATCCTCACAAGCAAGGATGTCGTTTCTTTTCAGTTTTTACTTCTTTATTTTCCAACTGGGGCCATAAAAGTGATGTCTTTTCTGTCAGTCTTTCTTTTAAATTTTTGATGGTGCAGCAATAGGAGTAAGACCAGATGGCTTCTACTTTTTACAGTGTATTTATGCACGGTGGTTTCAACCCCTCGATTTACAGAACAAAAGTGACGAGCTTTTTTCTTCTTCTTTCATCATCTTCTTCTTCCAGCAAGTATGTCCTGTTCTCTTCTTCAATATTCTCCCTTTTCTTTTCTTCTTCGTATTTCAGGAACAGATCTTGAGTTGGTGTGTGAGTGAGACTATGTACGATTTGTTTTTTCCAGCGTTCATGGTGAGACAGAGTTTGGCTGTTCGGTTTTTCCAAAACCGTCCCGGCTCTCCGGTTAATACCGGCTTCCGGTCTAAAGGGCAGCTGGAAGCGGCTTGAAGCGGCCCAAACGGTAGAACGAGCTAACCAATTGGGACGAGCCGCAGTGAGCACCGGCTGACGGTCTGACCGGCCGGTCCGGTCCGGGTTTTAAATCATTGCTAAGAAGTTCACTACTTTCACCAACAGAGATGTTGAGGGCGAGTTTTTAGAATTTGCTTCCCCTTATTGGGTTCAAACACTTCTTTTCCAAAGCCCACATAAACATTCATATAACCATATTCACAAATCACTCGATTTACAAGAGAAGTGTACCATCACAACGATGACGCAGAGGAAAGCACATATGAACATAAGGAAGGTTGAAATCGAAAGTGATATGGCGGAGTGCCGTGAATCTCGCAAAAAGACTATAATGCCCCCGTTTTATGTTTGTTCCTAAGGCTATTCATATCGGGATAGGACAAGATGTAAGATAGCCTTGTTCCGTCCTGGGACATACATTCATTTTTTTTAAAAATTTTGTTATAGATTATTTTTGTTTATCTATTCTAACAACAACAAAAAACAAATATTAAGCATAAAAAAGTAAATAGAAGTCACATAAAAAATTAAAGTCAAAATGACAATACGATTTTTTCATTGAAAATTAAAAAAAAAATCTCGCGAGACATTTTGGTCCTATTCCATCTTGATTAGAACCTGGACGGCTTTGGGATAAGATGAGACATGGGAGGGGATTGTCCTGATGCCGTCCTATCCCGTGAGCATCCCTATTGATAGCTGAAAGTGTGAAATACAAACGAGACACGGTTGAGATCGTCTCAATTTCATCCTATCCGGTGAACATCCCTATTGATAGTTGAAAGTGTGAAATACAGAAAACAAAAACTTTCCACTGCCGAGAATCAAAGTCTCTTGGGTGAGAGCCAAGTATCCTAATCAGCTGGACTACAACGGATTGAAGGTTTAAACGTTAGATAACTAAATTCTGATTATAGTTACAAAGCATATAAGTAGCTGGCCCATGCTAATGTGAGTCCAAGTTGTGCAATGGGAAGTCTTCTCCTAAACCTTATCCCTAACGTTTGGCTAACCTACACGCTACTTTTGTCACTTTCAGTCTCCATAGTCCACGCGCCATTCTTTACTTCTTCTCTCAGAAAAGCCAAACTGAATGGAGGGAATGACAATAAAAAAGAATGAAGTCTTAACCTCAAGCTCTAGAGTCTTTGGGGTAAAAGTGGCTTCAGGATAAAAATATATTCAATCTTAATAATATTTATTATTTCAGAATTATTAAAACATAATCTTATGAGAAACTATGTTGTTAATCCTTCAACTTTATATAAATTTAAGTATGATCTCTTAACTTTGAAAATTATACTTTTAGTTTTTTAATTCTAAAATTGTTAACATAAAAATAATAACAATTAAAATAATCTTCGATATTGTATTAAGTTTAATTTTTAAAACAATCATGATTGTTAATGAAACACATCATTTAAGCCTAAAAATTTTAAGATTAAAAAACTAAATGCACACATTTATCAACCCATATATGTTGCCATAAACTTGGGTTAGCATATGTTAATATCATTAATTACTTGGTGGGGCCCCATAAATAAAAATCTACGACCAAATGAATTCATATATAATTAATTGACAATGGGATGACAGTGAAAACAAGGGTCGTGATCTTCATCCTGCTCCTTTTTCAATCAATATTGTAATTTTTTGGCCCACTTCAATAATTCTCTTCGGCTACAATTCAAAGTTGGTCCCCCGCACAGCGAATTGGATCAATAAGAATTATATTATTATTATTATTATTATTATATGATTAACACGCGGCTCGTTGTGGTCCTTCATACTTAAAAATATCTGCAATTCCCTCAGGAGGGTCTGAAGTTGCGTGGAAACCGTACAACAAAGTAGGGCCTCAAGCTTTTTTTTTTTTTTTTGCCTTTAACTGATTTTTTAAATTTTACAAGTTTTCTGATTTTCTATCATTAAATTATGTTCCTGATCTCATAAAGGCATTCTTAGTTTTCTTTAATTTATCAGAACCTTGTCCGTTATATATAATTTTACAAAGTAGACGTACTAAGTTAGTTGCTTCTCATTTTTCCCTTGATAAGTATATCAAGAGGTCACCATATAGAATGGCAACAGTTCATAAAAAGTTAATGTTAAAATGGGATTTTTTTAAAAACAAAAAAGTACTAAATATGAGGAATCTAAACATGAGGAGTTTGAAAATTTGAGTAGCCATAGCAACTTGTTGTATAAGGTCATAAATTGTCATGCATTATCCCAATAATGGAAACCCCACAGCATTGACCCAATTACATAGACTTGAATCCTATCTAAACCAGCGACTTTGCAGCCACTCCTCCCAACTAAAGCTTCAGGTCTGCTTTTTTTCTTCTTCCCCATAGTTTCACATATCTCCTACTTTCTCCCTTCTGCTAATTTCTACTGCTTTCCCAGTTTTTTTTTTCACTTCATCATCCCTGCAGTTTCCTCTGTGTTATATATTCGGCTTTCTGATTCCCTTTTTCCTTTGTCTTTTCTCGAAAAAACAAAAAAAAATCCTAAATTTTCTGCTTTTTGCATTTTTTGTGCTGGCACTTCAATTCTCAGCTGTTGTGATATTTTTAACTTTATTTTGCTAGTTTTGTGATCTTTCTTCAAGGACAAAAAGTCCCAAAAATAATTTTTTTTAAAAAGTGTTCTTTTAATTTGTGACGGCTCATATCTCCCCAAAAAAAAACTCGTTATTCCTGATGATTTTATTTTTGGTGAGTTTGACTTTTTCCTGTATTTTTATTGCTTAGTTAATGTTGTTTTTCCTGTTTGATTTCACAAATTCATCGTCTTTCTTGGAAAACTTTCAGATTTTATAGTTGTCTTGGATTTTGTGAAGCATCAGTTTCTTAAAGTTGTCCAAAACACCGTTAAAAAAAACAGAGAAATCTCTCATGCTTGATCTCCATATTGGAACACTGGGGGAAGCTGATTACTGTTGGGAAATCTAAGGATTATATAGCTTGAAACTGCAAAGTTTCACATCGGCCACTACTGTAAGTTTGAAAATATGGATTTATGCTAAATCAGTCTCTGTTTAATTGATCTGTGTTTGCAAAGTTCAATTGTATTTCAACTTTTGCGGCATATTTATGCATTTCTAAATACAGGGAGTAGCAGCAAGAAGAAGAGCAAGAAGAACAAGAAACGTGTTCCAGCCATAGTAAAGATACCTAAGGTGTGGCTCCCTCATTTGAATATTTAAAAAAAATTTTTTCAAAGTTCTCATTTAATATAGGTGTGGCTCCCTCAGGTTTACATGTTGAAGATACTCTATTGTGTGCTTTGTTTAAGTAAAATATAAGGGGCTTTCCAACCAAAAATATATAAGGCTTTCCTTCTAAATACATATATAGGCTAAAGTATATATTTGATCCTTTAACTTCATGTAAGGTTTTATTTTGGTCCTTTGACTTAAAAAGTATACTTTTAGTTGTTTAATCCTAAAATTGTTAATTTTAAATGATGATATTTTTAACACTCATGATGGTTTTAAAAATTAAACTTAATATATTAATATTTAGTAATATTTTATCAATATTTAAGAGCTCAATATCATTATTTTTTGTTACTAATTTTAATGTTAGAGGACTAGAAATTCACTTTTTAAAGTTAACAGACCAAAATGAAAAATTATGTAAAGTAAAATGACTAAAAATATACATTAGGACTAAATAATTAATTTTTCGTAAAAAGTATCATTTTACTTCTTGGTTCCATTTTTAACACTATTAAAAATATTTCCATAAAAATTCGGTGGTTTTCATTAAAGAGAAATATTTTGGTCCAAAATGTGTAATTAATATTGTGGTGTGCGAAAATGTAATCTTAAAAATATAAAGACGGTTTGTTTTGCACAAATTTTAATTTTATAAGTTTATAAATTGTTTAAAAAAACAATTCTTTCTAATTAAATGTAAAATAAATGGGACGTCATTACATTTTATTTTTCCTTTAAATACTTTCGTAAGTTTGTTTCGTGTTCGCTTAATGAATTGGTCTTAAGAAAACAATATATTAATTGCAAGTTATAAACACATCATCTCGTACTCAAATCAGGATTTATTTTAACAGTTTCAACAAAATCCTTGAAATGTTATATGAATTGAGAGCGTAAAATGGATTTCATGAAATTCTGATGAAAAATGTAGATGAAATTATGAAATAGATGAGAACGAGAATTCAAAATTTAAATTTTGAAGATGAGAACTTGAGGACATGCCAGGGGAAGTCGAGAGATTAGAAAAGAGAGGTAACGGAAAACGGGAAAAGAAGATCAAGAGATAAATTGGAAAAAAAAAAAGAAGAAAAACAAAGAATATAATTAAGATAATGAGAGAGAAAGATAAGAGATACGGAAAAGCGCTTTATTTTTATTTTTTTGGGCTAACGAAAAGCGGGGTTTAATGCTTACAGAGATTTTAATATTTTAAAAAATTTCATATAACCTTCTGTCTGTTTTTTCTTTGGCCAATAATTTCATGGGTTCCTAAAATTGCAATGCTGTTTTACAAAATATATAGTTTTAGCAAAAAAGAGCAGCTAGTGATTATACTTTTGGATTTCTCATTTTTATTCCCCAACACTTTGAGATCAGAAAAAAGATTGATTCCTCCAACTTTTTAGCCCAATTTTTCGACCTGAAGCACCAAGTAAAAAGTACGATCACTAACGCATAAGTTGCAATCAGTGTCTAGAGTATTTTTTCTAGGAAAACAATTAAAAAATAAGTCTCAGAGGTTGTTACTCTCACTATAATATTTATCATTATAAGCTGTTGAATTTGTTATTAGGACTTTTTGATAATTATTTCTCTTCTGTGGGACTTGATTATAATTCTCCTTTTTTCCTATTGTATCTTAAAATAATTTTTTATGCAATTTGACTATTAAAATATTTTCTTAATAGCACTCAACACCTCAAGGCAATTTTTAGTGTAATTTTATTCCTAAACTTGGTTTGGATGGAGAGGGGGGGAGAAAAAAAGGGGAAAAAATGAGGGGAGATTACCTGATTAAACTATTTTTGTACTAACATGTATCTTAAAGTAATTTTTTTAATACAATTATTGTACAAGATATAAGCTATGTTGTAATTTTTTTCAGCATAAATAATTAAAATGAATCACATTTTAGGAAAGTTAGCATATGTAACCGACTCACCTACTTCTTTTAATCCATGCGAATCATCTTAAAAACGATGTAGTCCTGACCCTGTGGGTTACTGATATGCTTGTGCCCAAATCCTCGAGCGTCTGGCCACTGTCTTGTGCCTCAAGTCAATCTTTGAAAAAATGCCTTTACTGAACTTATTACTCCTTTTATTGGCACTTTTTATTAATATCTGCTTTATTTTCATTTGTTCTCGTTGTCTTAGCTTCTTTCATAATTTCACAGCATTCCTTGCTTCTTCTGTGTTTTGATTTCTCAACTTGTTATTTTGTGTTGGAACACTAGGGAAAGCTTCTTACTGTTGGGATATCGGAGGTTTATAGACATTCAGATTGCAAAATTTCACATTGGTTATTGTTAGTTCAAAATACACATATTTATTGCAATACTTCTGCATGAACAACACAAGATTAATTGAGTTTTGGCTATATCTTTTTAACAGAGCACAAATTAAATGGATATTACTTGCGGAACATTGAGCAGTTTTGTTGACAAGTTCTGGGACCTAGTGCTGGACCCAACTTGCGAGCAGTTTCATCATCTGTTTCACTATCACAGAAACATTAAGCAGCTCAATGAACGACTTGTGGAACTCGTCGATGAAAGAAGCTCCGTACAACATCAAATAGATGAGGCTACAAACAATGCAGAACAAATTGAAGACAAGGTTCTTCATTGGTTGCGCAAAGTAGATGAGATTTCAGAGCAAATTCAAAAGTTTCATGAAGAAGAGAGTCAAACAATAACAGAGTGTAGCGTAACTTCATGTCCCAACCCGTGGCTGCGCTATAAATTAAGCAAAAGAGCAAAGGCAATGTCACAAGAAGTTGTTGAAATTTGTAGAAAGGGAAATTTCAATACAGTTTCATATCGCGTTCTTCCACGGTCCATGCCAGAATTAGTCAACAGAGAAAGCGATGAAGGAATTGGTTCAAGAGTGCAGCTTGTGAATCGAATTATGGAGGAATTACGGAATCCAAGTGTTAATATGATCGGATTGTGTGGGCCTGGTGGTGTTGGCAAGACCACTATAGCTAAAGAGGTAGCAAAGAGCCAAAAGATGTTTTCAAAGGTGATCATGGTGACTGTTTCTGATGAGTTGTACGTTGAGAAGATTCAAGGCCAGATTGCTGAGAAGCTGGGTATGCAACTCAATGAAAAAACTGAAGAAGTAAGAGCTTGTCGTCTCTGTGAGAGGTTAAAGCTAGAGAAGAATATGCTCCTCATATTGGACGATCTTTGGGAGGAACTTGATTTGGGAAGCGTTGGAATTCCCTTTGTTGATGTTGAAAATTATAGCAAAAAGGACGGAGGTTGCAAAATTTTACTAACTTCAAGGAATGAAACGCTACTGTCACACCGCATGAAATGTCAAAAACTTATCAAAATAGGTGTTTTGTTAAAGAATGAAGCATTGGAGTTGTTCAAGAGGATTGCTGAACTTTCTGCTGATTCAAGCAATCTTGAGCTGATATCTATAGCCTCTGAGATTGTTCAAAAGTGTGGACGCTTGCCGCTAGCGATTGCTACAGCTGCTAAGGCATTGAGGGGAAAAAATTTGGATGAGTGGAAAGATTACCTTGCACGATGGAAAAATCATTTAAGGAGAAACAACACAGGAATTAAAGAGGTGGATTCTTCTTTGAAGTTGAGCTACGATCCTCTAAGCTTGGAGAATAAAACTATTTTCTTGCTCTCTGCCATGTTGTCCCATGATCCCTCAATTGATGACCTGCTCATGTACTCTCTGGGATTAGATATTCTTGAAGGCATAGAAAATATAGAAGAAGCCCACGTTGGAATATGTGCTATTGTAAGTAAGCTAAAATCATTAAACTTATTTCTTGATAGCTTTTCTGGTCGTCGTGTTACGATACATGACGTCTTTCGAGATGTTGCATTATCAATTGCTTCCAATGAATTAAATGTTTTCATTGTGAGGCATAGAAGCTTGAAAGAATGGCCAGACAAAAATAAGCTAGAAGGCTACAAGGGAATTTGCTTACAAGATAGTGACATCAGTGAGCTTCCAGAAGAGCTGCATGGTCCAAGATTAGAATTTTTTCTACTAGACAGCACAAAGCGTGATTTGATCATATCCAACATGTTGTTCAAATCTTCAAGGGAGATGAAAGTGTTGGCTTTTACCAATGTGCATTTTTCATCACTACCATCACTTAGTTTCTTACAAAAACTAAAAACATTGTGTTTACACTCTTGCTTACTGGAAGATATAGCTGAGGTTAGAAGCTTGAAGAATTTAAAAGTCCTGAGTCTTGCCTACTCTGAAATTCAACGACTACCAGCTGAATTGGCACAACTGACTTCTTTACAGATGCTGAATTTGGCCCACTGCTCTGAACTCAAAGTGATTCCCCCAAAGCTCCTATCTAGCTTGAAAAAATTGGAAGTTTTGTACATGGGAAATAGCTTTAATCGATGGAAAGTTGAAGGATCTAGTGAAGCTATTGAAAATGCAAGTCTTGAAGAGTTAAAGGATTTGCCGATCTCTTCACTAGATGTTCATATTCCTAACGTCTCTATGTTGCCGGAGAACTTGTTCTTAGATATGCATTTGAAGAGATACAGAATACTTATTGGACAGCATTGGGAATGGCAAGGCAATTATGAAAGTTCAAAGATATTGAAAATTGAGCTTGAGAGTAGCATCCATTTGAACACTGGGGTTCGAAAGTTAATGAGGGGAGCTGAAGATTTGTATTTATATGGATCTAATGGGCTTGAAAATGTTCTTCGTGGTCATGATGGAAGAGCATTTCCACATTTAAGGCATCTTCAGATTGAAAGTAATGATACTATTAGATACATTGTTTTGAACTCGGCACATCATGAAGCTGCAAAAAATAACGTATCTAATAAAATGTCGAAGTTACTTCTCAACCAGGTATGTTCAGATTATTTTATCTTCTTACAAAACTTCAAAATTATATGCAAAAATCATTTTGACCTGAATTACTTGCTTTTCTATTAGGCAATTATGGAAGTTTGCAATCAGCTAATAGAAGAGAAAAGCTAACTTCAAGCATTAAAATAAATAATGAAGCCTCAAATTATTTGTTTTACATCCTAAAAACACGTCAACTTGATATTTTTGAGTATTTTAAATGTGAATTGTTTCTGTTACTGAAATAGTATTTATGAGCATTTTAGATGCTCTGAATAACGACCTTGTTGGACAGGCTTGCTAGAACTATCTGCTTTGCTCGTGTGTTTGCCGGATTGTTTTTCTTATTTTGATCTAATTTTTTTTAAAAATGAAATCTACAAAAATTACATTCACTGGAATTACTTACCTTGGTATTAGGCTAGTTACTGTAGCATTGCAGTTCTTTCACTTTTTTAATTACTTGATTTTGTATCTTGTGACCGTGAAATTTCGAGTTGAACTTTCAGCACCTGCTTGAAAAATATTGTGGTAGATAAGATTTTTATTTAGATATTTAAACAATCTTTCATTAAAAGTAAGCCTACGAATTAATCATATTTTGTTTCAACAGGTGTTATTCCCAAAATTAGAGGGGTTGGAATTGTCCAATTCAATCAGTTTGATTCCATTGATATGGGATGACCAACTTTCACACACCTCATTTAGCAATTTGAAAACATTGATTGTGGAAAATTGTGGCTTTGTGAAATTGGTGCCTCTTCATGTGCTAAAGTCTTTAAACAATTTGGAAGCATTAGAAGTCAGGGATTGTCACGTGTTGGAGATGGTGTTTGATTTTGAAGATTCGAATGAATATAAAGAGAAGACGTCATCATCACTTAAGGTTGTGCCGTTGAAGAAGTTAACGCTAGATGGATTGCCAAAATTGAAGAATGTGTGGAGCAATCACTACCAGGGAAATGTCTCCTTCCCAAGTCTAACGAATGTATCTGCTTACGATTGTGAAAGCCTCACAAGTATGTTTCCTGCATCTATAGTCAAAGGCATGCTTCGTAATCTTGAACGGCTTCATATATCTCATTGTGGTATAGATGTAATTGTTGCAAAAGATCAAGTTTCAGAATCTATTGCTTCTACACTTGAGTTTCCCACGCTGACTTCCCTTGACCTTTCTTTCCTTCAAAATTTGAAGAACTTCTATCCACAGAAACACACATTAGAATGGCCACAACTTCAGCGATTATCTATTAGATATTGTGATGAAATAGAGATATTTGAAAAGGAAGTCTCAAGTTCACTAGAAATTCATGAGGAAAAGCGCACATTAGACTCAAAATATCCTCTACTGTCCCATGACAAGGTACGTTTCTCAATTAGCTATTAATGTGTTATTTATTTTAAAATAAGCTAATGAAAAAGCAAACATAACTTGAAGCATTAAAATAAATAATGAAACATCAAATTATTTTGTTTTACAACCTAAAAGCATTTGAATTTGATATTTATGTGCATTCAAATATGTGAATTATTCCTATTATTACTAAAATATTTATTAGGGTATAATATAATTTAGGGATGATTGTCTTTAAAAAATAAAAAAACAATAATTCATCACAATTATTTTAATTAATAGATTTTATAAATAATTCTCTGTTCTTTCTTTTTAAAAGAATGACCCCAATCCTTAGCTTGCATCTTCTCGCACAAAAAAGGTGTGTTGTTCAATTAAGAAAGGGGACAGGTGTTTCCCCCCTTTTTCTCCCCCCCCCCCCCAAAAAATTCGAGACACTATATGCTGAAATTTAATATTTTGTCTTTTAAAAAGCAGGAATAGCGTTTGTGGGTCATAATCAAATATTGAAACTCCCAACTAAAAATTTATTTAATTGATCATAATTAATAATTGAAATTCGTGAAGTATACGTTTGTCAAAATTGTGGATGCATCAAATTGTGATTCATAAAAAATTAGTTTAGGATTTGATGATTGCTTTTAAAAAACTAAAAAAGAATAATTCATAACAATTATTTTAATTAACATATTTTATAAATAATGTTCTATTCTTTTTAAAAGAGGGGCTCCAATCCTCAGCTTCCACCTGCACGTGAAAAGGTTTGCTGTTGAATCAAGGGAGGGGACGGGGTTTCTGTCTTTTTTTCCCCTTCTTTTTTTTTTCTTCTACACATTATAAGCTTTAATTTATTTTTTTTTAAAAAAAGAATGTTTGCGTGTCACAACCTTGCAAAGATGGAAATTCTAGACTAAAAATTTGTGTTCATTTGAATCTATCATAACTGATATTTGAAGTGCACGAAATATACGTACGTCAAAATTGTGGATGCATCAAATTTTAATCTGAAGATCAGTTACCCTCATGAAAATCGCATATGGCTTTTGACGTACTAATTAATTGGTACAGTTAGTTATTATTTATGTATTGTGCAGGATATTCGTAATTTGGAGGAGTTGAGATTGGAGGGTAAAGGGGCTGAGATGATAGGGAGTGGCCAGTTTCCAGCGTACCCCTTCCCCAAAGTAAAACTGCTTCATCTATCAGTAGAGAAAGCCACAACTATATCGTACAAATCATTGTTGAAGAGCTTTCCAAAATTAGAGGAGTTAGAGTTGGGTGGTGACATTAAGGAGGCTGTTGGAGGGGATGAAGTTCCCTTTCCAATAAAATTGACTCTTCAGAATCTTTACAAGATGCCATCTTTGGTTTCTTTACCAAATCTCACACATCTTACAGTGAGATTTTCTTATGGGCGGACCACTTTGATGACGTCATCAACTGTTCGAAGCTTGGTCCATCTCACACGTCTCTCAATTGGTCACTGCGATCGAATAGGGGAAATCATATCGAAGCAGGAAGGAGAGGATGATGAGGATAAGGAAATCTTTTTCAACAAATTGCAGTACTTGCAACTTTGTGACCTACCAAGACTGAAGAGATTTTGCGGCCACGATTATACTTTCAGGTTTCCATTATTGGATACTCTAATCATAAGTGGATGTCGAAAATTGGAAATATTCTCTCCAGGACTCATTGATGCACCATCTCTTCAAAGCATTCAGTTGTCAGACGATGAGGGAAAACGTCATGAAATTTGGGACACCAACCTTAACAAAACAATCCACCAACAGGTGCGTCCACCAGCATGCTTAATTCTTTCTATTTCCATATTTTACAAAAGTACTCATCTATAAAAGTTCCATTTTTATGATATTTAATATAAATCTCCCTGCGCATATTTTGGTTTAATCAAAGATTCTGCTAAACTTGTAAGTATAATCTTGTTGCATCAGTTTAATTACAAATTAAACACCACAAAAAGTTTCGTCATAATCAATTAATGGAATATATAGCAGAATGTTTTAGTATTATTATTCTCTTTTTGTCGTCGTTGATATCGTCATTTCTTTTCCAATATTAATTATAAAAATTAATGAACTTAAAATATGTGACACTTTGTTTGACTCGGAAGATAATGGGCAACAAAATTATTCATAGTTTTCTTTCTTCTAGCTAGTGAGCGTATTTGACTTTGGGACTCAATAAAAAATAAATTATTATTGCTACGCTACTGATTCAATATGAAGTTACGTGACATAAAAATAGGACATTATTATTTATAAACATTTCTCAGTACAAAATATTAAATTATGTAGTTATAATTGAATAATATACCTTTGCCAATAATCGTTTTACAGCGATTTGTCGGTACAAGAAAGCTGGTGTTAGATGAGGATGATGTCAGCATGATAAGGAATGACCAATTTCCAGCGGACCATTTTTCCCACGTGGAAATTCTTGGCATAGAAAGATTTGTTGGTGAAGGGGTAACATTTCCATACACATTGCTTGGAAGATTTCCGAAACTGAGTGAACTTGGTGTGAAGGATAGTTTATTTGAGGAGATATTCCCATCACATAATGCACACATTATTGTTGATCAAATTCCACCGTTCAGGGAACTCTGCCTTGCCAATTTGACGGTGCTCAAGGTGTCCCGATGTAATCGGCTCGTCTATTTAATGAGAAACTCAACCGCCAAAAGCTTGGTGAATCTTGAAACATTGGAGATAAGTAACTGCCGTGAGATGGAAGAAATTGTAACGAAGCAGGATGGAGAAGATGACAAGGACAAGGAAATCTATTTTAGCAAACTGAAGCTTTTGGAACTTCACTATTTACCAAGATTGAAGAGATTTAGTGGCCGCAGTTGTACTTTCAGGTTTCCATTATTAAAATGTGTAACTGTAGCAGATTGTCCTCGGCTCATAATGTTCAGTCCAGGAGCCATTCATGCCCCGCAGCTTCAAAGCATTCGAGTACAAAGATATGACCGCCATAAACATATTTGGATGACCGATCTTAACAATACCATCCAACATCAGTTTATGACTCAAGAGGTAAGTCCAACATTCTAACATTCTTATTTTCTACTTTTTAAATAATTCCTTATCATCTACAAAATTTAGGGCTATTTAATCCAAATATTGAAGTCGTTCTGTCGTCTCCCATAAATTATACACTTTTCATGTTACAAGACTCTAGCAAATGAGGATAAATGAATTAATGTGGTCGGCTACAAATAGTGTCGCATTGTTTGGTACGTTTTTTACTAAAAGGGAGCTATAAAATGGTTCAAAAGAATTTTTTTTTATTTTAAAATATGGATGTGATTTTAGAGGGAAAATCAACAACAACAAGCCTTAATATAACTATTAGAAAAAATTGACCAATTGTTGAAGAAATTTTTTCTAAAATAAAAAATTATTATTTTAAAAAATATCTTGACCTAATTTATTAAACTGCCGTCTTATAGTAATAATTTTTATCAATAAGCGTTTCATATGTCGTTTTCACCGCCAAAAGCCTAAAGATAAATGTGAATTCGAAGGAAATGATATTTTTTGTCCTAATTTAATTTAGAGTAAAAAAGCGGATAATAAAATTAATTTACCTTTTTCTCTAATTTTAATGCATGGATGTGATTTTTGGGGCAAATGTTGAAAAATATACAAATTAGTCTGAACAATATCTTGATCTAATTTACTATATTGCATATTAATTATGGTAACTGTTTTATTAATTTTAATCTTATAGGTAGCTTCCACAACCCAATGCATGGTGTTAAATGCGGAAAATATCACAATGATAAAGGATGTCTTTCCTAAAGTAAGAGTTCTTGATGTAGAAAGCTTCCAAGATGAATGGATGACCTTTCCCTATAGCTCCCTTGAAAGATTTCCTAAGTTGAATTGGCTTTGTGTGCGGCATAGTTCCTTTGAGGAGATATTCCCTTCACAGGACCAGATTATTAATTTTATGGGAAAAATCCTTCCATTTAAGAGATTAGACATTTCTAATTTGGATAAACTCAAGAGTATATGGAAGGATGATTCTCAACTACCACCAATTCATCAAAGTCTGAAATCCCTCAGTGTCAATAGTTGCTGTAACTTGGTCAAGTTAACACCATCATCTGCTTCATTTGAAAAGTTGAGAAGCTTATCCGTATCAGGATGTCATCAACTCATCCATTTAGTGACAAGTTCAACTGCCAAAAGCTTGGTGGGACTTGAATGGTTGAAGATAAATGATTGCAAAAAGATGGAGGAAATTGTAAAGAATGAGACCAACGAAGATGTAGAAGGTGGAATCACATTCAACCAGTTGCATAGGATCAGACTTATTGATATGCTAAGCTTGAAGATGTTTTCTTCACAAAGTTGCACCTTCGAATTCCCAAAATTAGAAGACATACTAATAACTGGATGCCCTCAAATGAAGAAGTTTGGTCTAGGAGCGTTGAAAACACCAAAGTTATCTAAAGTGAAAATAGAAGGATGTGATGTGGAATGGGCAAATGAAGGGGACCTTAACAAAACAATAGAAATGCTATCCTCAGCAAAGGTATGATATATACACACCAACAAATATTGTTTCCAAACATGCATAGTTAATGACCAACCGCAAATAGGAAATTGATTTATGTCGTACTTATGCCAATTACATTTTTTTTTATTTTTTTCGGTGATAAAATTAAAATTTTTTAGGCAAACTAATACTATGACATGGTATTGCAGGGTAGCGTTAATTAATGGAGGGATAAGTCCATCATCCATGTTATCATTTTCAGGTTAGTTAGTTTTATGATTTTTCCTGCTTATTGTCTATGATTTTCTCTAGTAGTTATTATGATATCAATAGAAGCCTCTTATATGAAGGGATGAAGCATTAAAAAAAAACTTGCATCTATTTTTGCTCCTATACGCCAATTTTTCTTTTCTTAAATTATTTGCATCTTTTTTGCTACATTTGTCTGTGCTTTCCTATCACTAAAAAACAGAGTTGCTTGTTAAAATTTATTTCAATATTTTTTCCAATAGTAATTACTATAATTACATCAACAACTGCTACGTACATTAATTAAGGGACGAACCAGAGGATCCATCTCTGTGTCTGTGTGTGTGTGTGTTTTTTTTAAATTTTTTTATACATGCCAATTTCCATTTGTTTGTGCACATTCCCTCTCTATTGTATCGGTTGATTTAGACAATAACTTCGCTTATTTTAAAGAGATTGACAGTGATTAAGGAGAAAAGAAACAACTGGCATATTTAGGGGGGGAAAAAGATGATTTTGATAATTTGATTCCCCCAGCTATTTTAACCCAATTTTCCCACTAAAAATGATATAAATTTACAAAATAGAATCATAAAAAACATAATTTTTTATGCATTGACTACAAAATGATTTATATCTGATAACATGGATATATGTGGAATATAAACATATATAACCTCAATATTCTTTTAATTTTCCTTGCTTGATTAATGCAGGTACCTTTGGTGATGATGTTGACACGTGATGATGAATGTGGACAAGTGTTTGTGCGTTGATGCTTTTGTTGAATTCTCTGTTATTTGATAAATGAGACTCTGTTTTTATCATAAACAATATTCATACCAATAAACTGGGTGATGAATGACTTGGCTCTGCAGGTCAAAACTCTACCCTTAAAGTGTGGTTTGTTTCATTGTATATTATGACTCTAAGGGATGGAAGACTCAGAAATTGGTGTGCCGTGATTGTGTTCATTTTGTACTAATTTTCTTCAGAGACATCATTTCCAATGAAGATGTCGCTTATTATCATGTTGAGTGGATTATATACGAAAATTGTCTATCATAAAGAAATATGCTCTCTCATATGTATTAAGAATTATCAAAAATAAATAAATAAATAAAAGCCTATGCACAGACCATTATATAGCAAATTAGTAGTGCATTTTGCACTGCCACAAGCAACTGGAATGCCATTCCTAATTGAAATCCTGATTCAGTGTCCAACATTACAATGATGATCATAGTATCAAGCATATCTCATTATTTAGAATACATAAAGAAGCTTAAGGTTCTTCATAATCTTACGCAAAAAGCATATATCCTGCCCCACAAAGGTCAGAGGATTTTTCCGATCATTATCCACCTAAACAGGATTATTATTCACTAAAATCTTGTGAGCATAGATAAAAATTTCAAGCGAGTTGCACATGATGGTGCATTTGTTTAAATGAATACCTTGTGCCACTTTGATTTTTCGTTCAGTCAAAGCCAAACCGCCTAAAGAGAGAGGAGAGAGAATCAACACAAAACAGAAAATAAGCAGTAAGAATGACCGTTGCCATACCATAGGTAAACTATGTTGCTTTATAACCTGCAATTCCTGGTTACAATTGTTGGTTGTGACAGTTAGGGGACATGCAAAACAGGAGTCATATCAGCAAAAATAAATCAACAAAATCAATGTCAAGTACTTGAAAAATATGAACAAATAAGAAAATATGGCTTGATCAATGAGTATAGTGGCCAAAAAACTAGATAAAATCTTGAATACATGTTAAAGGGAACATGTTAATGAATCAAACCGTATATCACCACTTGGTAATTAAACAAGCGGCTGCTGAATTGACTGAATAAAACCCCACAAGCCCGGCGAGTTCTACACTCTTGCACCTTAAATTCATTTTGGATTGGTAGATTCCCACACTAAACGCTAAATCTTTTTCAAAATTTCAATGCCAAAGTTCTAAACTTAGATCAGTATATCCAAATGCTTCTACTGGACCTTCGAATTATGTATGTATATGTAGGTTACATAGGATGCACAATCACCCAACAGGACGGGCAGTCATAAGAGGTTAGAATGTAATATTACGTTACACCTCCTCCAAAGCATGGCCAAATTATATTCAATAACTATAATATGAAAATAACAAAATTAATGGATGAGAAGAAGAAGCTTCAGAATTCAGAGGGCTCTAGCAAATTAAAAGCGGAGCTCCAGTGTGGCTAAAAGCAGAAAGGGAAAAAGACATCAAACTATTCAAGCACACAAAAGCTGTATTTTCTATTAGGGCAAGATGACCAAAGCACACCAATTCAATTCAGTAAATTAGCTCATGTCTAAAATTTATGGAGAGTAATTTATTGATGATTGAAAAATTATTCTAAAAGAATTTACTTGTAGGTCTTCAAAGCATTTAACTTTGGGTTTTGGTGGTAGGAGAAATCTATCCAATGGATCTACAACTCTGCTCTTCCTGGGCTGTTACTCCTTGTTCTACACCATCTGATCCAGCCACAACATCAACTTGCATAGTATGAATGGCTCAGAAAATTGAGGAGTGTTGACTGCTAGGTGTCAAAACCTAAATAGATCATGATGATGCTCCATCTAGCAAATCACCTACAAAACCACATATTAGAAAGTTTTTTTTAGGGGAAAAAGCAGCGGACCAAGAGTTAACAAGATAATCACAAGAAGAAAAACAAAACAATATGAAAGTTCAAATTCTTCTGCAATAATGGTTAATGAGCCACTCTGGAAAATCTGATTTCCTATTCTGAAGATTTTGTCGAAGAAATCGAATACTGTGCTAGAAAATGGAAAAAGGAAGTTGGTTTGCAAGTCTATTGATAAAAGAAAAGAAAAGGTAAAAAGTAAAACCAAATATTCAAACAACCTTCAAACTTTCAAATATGGAAATCTATACACCATGACTTGCAACTACATACAGAATGTTAGCATCGAGAACAAATGCTAATCACTAAATCAGCTTAGCCCACAAGAACACAGAAGTGGGTCATGGACTTGGAGGTTTTGTACAACTTTTTGTTTTTTGGCATCGGAGGTTTTATAGACTCTAATCCAGAGCCAGCTGATATTGAAACAACTTAGCCAGCTCTTTACTGCATTGATTTTAAAGTCCACAGCACAAGCCCGGAGCCTTTAGATTATGTTTAAGAAGGGATGAGAATTTCAGATACTGCTGATTAAGTTCCTTAATTAACTTTGATAATACATAATATGCTTAATTTTCATAGAGTATAAGATCTCAACAAGCAGGGACATCAACATTTTCTTGTAGAACTCCATTTAAGAAGGCATTATTAATGCCAATAGCAAGCACAAACCTCAGTGAAGATGTTTTTAAGACTGGGCTAAATGTTTCATCAAATTCAATCCCTGGATTTTGTTGAAAGCCTTTCGCACCTCGTCTGGCTTTGTGCTTTATTTTGAGAGCCATCTGGCTTCTCCTTTAAGCCTAAACACCCTTTTACAATCAAGCACGTTGCCTTGCCCTGTGTAAGGTACAGTTAACCATGTTCTGTTTTTTTAATCAGATCGCTATATTTGGCCTCTTTCGTAGGTTGTCTCCACTGTTCTGACTTGAGAGCTTCTTCGATCCTGCGCGGTTCCTTGGATTCATCTATTACCATAGCTGCACCAGCACAAAGTAATTAATGTATGTTTGCTTATTTCAATCTTATGCTTGCTGCTCTGTTATTTTCTGTGTTGACGATGAGACAGTATCAACAGTGGAGTGACCATGTGGAATCCTTCATCGTTCAAAGGGCTATATTGAATTCTTCGTTCGAGATGCAAAGACGAAATAATTGGTTTGAGCTAGACACACCTTTGGATGAACTAGTTCATCAGGTGCAGCTTTTTTTGGTTGTTTAGTTAAGAACCAACTAAACAGAAAATTGATTATTTAATTTTATACTTATGCCATTCTCAGCTTTATTAATTCTTCTTCGTTCCAAAATCACTTTTTCAGAATCTTATCAACTAGACTAGAGCTGGTGTTTAGAAAATGATCAACACATTAAATTCAAAAGGGATGATTTTGAGAAGATGTTGGTCTCGAATTGTCAAAGATTAATTTATCATGATCAGTAAAATCAGAAAGAATTAGCATATAAATAGAAAGTGATTTAGTCTGTAGAAATGAAGTTGGCGATTGTTCTCTGTTATGACGGGAAGATAAGCTACGCAGAACCGAATTATACAGCGTTCTCTTGCATTGGTTGAATTCCCATTTCTAGTATTATAAACATCAAATAAATATATTTTGCCCAACGAAATATATATATGCAGTTTTTTTTTAATATAATCCATATGAATGTTTACGTCTAGTTTTTTTGTTTTTTTTTTGGGTATAACTTAGTATATTCTCAAATCATTTTAGACTTGAGACTAATTTTGTTAAGTTGAGAATGTTAAGACTAAAGCCCTCTCAACAAGTATGTTTTCAATATTCGAGCTTATATTTTTCTTTTTATAAAACTATTTACTATCTCAACTAACATATCTAGTTGATAATGTTTACTTCTAGTTGCAAAGTCCCAGGAAGAGTAAAATATGGGCTGATGGGCTGAGATATCGTAGTATGGCGCTTTGGCAAGAACTGCCTCTACAGATCAGACCTGGGGCTGTATATGGTACAATTAACCCTGTTTTGTTTCCTTTTTTGTTGTTTGTTTGTTTTTTTTTTTTGGTGACAACCATGTTTTGGCTTTTACATTTTAAGCAGAGCATTACATTCTTTCCTTGCTGCAGACCACGCCAGC